TCCTCTCCCCTTATCCAGCTCAGGGGATGTAAGGTTACTCACACTGTCCTTCCTGATAGCTCAGTGGGTAGGTGGCTGGCTTAAGGCTTTTCACTGAGTTGGCTCCTTCCTTGCTGTTCGGGCTGTCCTTCCTGGAAGATGGTGGTATAGTGGAGACTCCCTTGTTCAGCACCAGCCTGTAGGTAGGACCCATCCCTGGGTCCCCTCCCAGGCTCCACACTCCAGCCTTCACTCCATCTTACACCCAACACTACTGTCTCTGCTAGTCAGGCTCTCCTATACTTAAGGACTGTCCTGGTCCCATGCTAAGCCTCCTGCTTGGGGATTGGCCAAGATCCCTTAAGTATGCAGATCAGCCCCTCCTCACCCTTACCCACTGCCTTCTAGAAACTCCTCCAGCTTCTAGAGTAGGGGGAGGCATCAGGGAACTGACCTGCAGTGCTCTCAGCCCTGACCTACAATAACCTGGCTGACTCATACCCAGGCTAACTCATCCTGGACTTCTATTTAGCCTCTACCTAAAAAAACAAACTATCTCCACCTATCTAAACTCAAGGGGCGCTACACAGTCAAAAAAGGAATGGGTGATATTACTATGAGAATGTTTTTTCTTAAATAGTTGCATGCAGGGCAGGAATCAGGGGATAGCATTCCAATGTGGTACTAGTTATTCTCAATGACTTCTACTATGTTGCCCCACAGACTTGGCTGAATTGGAATTTCTTGACCACCAATATTCATAATGGTATATTGAATGTACTGATGATAGGGACCCATTAGCAAATACTCTCTCACTGATACCGAATGCCCACTAGACTTGCCAAAATGTATCGAGAGACCTCTCTTCTATGTTTCATCTATATTCAAAGGAAGTGAGCAAATTGGCACTATGTTCCACACTTGGTGGACTTGCCCCTAAAGCAGCCACAGTTACCATGGCCTACATCCCCAAGAATGCTTTAACAGCTCTTTTAAGTGAGCCTATAGACAACATCCAAGTTCACTTGGATCATGCTTAGCAAGAAAATAGTAAGCATCCTGAAAGACAAACAGGTGACATCAGAGAAGGTTTGGGATCCATGGATATGTTACATACAACCTCCCACCTTGCCTGATTACTGAGAAATGGATGAAACAGGACTTCAGCAGAAACAAAGTTGTTATTTTTTCACTACTTTATATCACGGCCCTTTTCTTTCCTCTTTTTACTCTGGAACAGGCTGACCCTTGCATTACCCTGTACATGTTAGTAGATCACTGAGACTGAACTAATGGTCGAACATCTGAAGTAAATGTATCTTGAGCCTTGATAGTTGCTGCCAGTACATAGGGAAAACTTTGCACCCTTTCTATATACCTGTTTACTATGTTGTGACTCTGACCCAGCTCTCTAGATCGACAGTATATTTTACTCACTGTGCCTTATCTAATGACTTGCTAATATACTACCTGTAACCTTCATTCTGACAATGCTTACTTTGTAAACCTTGTATAATGATGAAGAAAATGCCTGTACAATTGTTTGTATGTTTCTTCCATAGAAAACAAATAAAAATGATTGAAAAGAAAAAAGGAATAAGCACATGACCAGATCATAAGGAATCCAAATCTGATCAGTTTTAGCTCAGTTTTTGAAAAATGGAAGAGCAATACCACTTCAGTCTTGTTTAATAAAGCAGTACAAAGTGTAGTAACCCATAGAAATTATTCATATTTTACATTTTTACCCAAGGAAGAGTGTACACCAGATTATTCCAAAGAAATAGAGGAGTCCCATAGGCATGGATTTCTATTGTGTTGAGTCTGGCACGTTAAATTTATTAACCTACATGGGGATAGTCTGGTGTGCATTTGGTCTATTTCTTTTGTGTGGTGGAATTTCTTTGTGCCTATAATAATCTCCGTCCAGTGTTCCAGTGAGCAGACTAATTTTGGAGCTTGTGAGCTGCATTTGTTTATTGTGTGGCATATTTTACTTTCTTCTGATATAAATAAAAAAGACATACATCTTATTGGTTACTGTGTCTTACTGTACTTCTTACATTGCTATTGAACTCTGCATTTTCTTTTATAAGCCCGTTTGTGCTCTTTTATTTTTAATTTGCAGTGTAACATTTTTCATTATTTAATGGAAAGCAACTGTTGCTCATTTACAAATACATCAGGTATTTTGTATTGCTGAAATCACATTCACACCAAAAAGGTGCAGAACCCTTTTGAGAACACCCATGCGATGTGATTTCTGGCAATCACATTGTGTTTTGCAATCTGTTTCAGGGTGTCATTAATTTATCATTGACACCCGAACCAGATCACATGAACGCCACGCAATTGCAATATGGTGTGGGAAATGCACAGGATTCTCAGCGTTTCCCACACTGCATTAGTGTGAACCTGGGCTAAATGTGCTAATGCAACGTGTGTGTAAAATGTATTGCATTTACTCAGTGTTGTGTTCTTTCTTCTCTCTCTGGACTGACAGGGGGGCAGCGGGGGTGCATGCATGCACGCTCACATCTGGAAATAGAAACCTACGTAAGAGTAGTTAAAAAAAAAACTTTTTTAACATTATTTAAAAAAAATACTTTCACCAGAGTAGTTCAGTGTTACCATAGTAAAGATTATTGCTCCTGCAATGCAATGCTTGCTTTGAACTGTAATGAATAGGTTAGGTTCATGACAGTTCAAAATACTTGTGATCTGTGATTGGCTACAACTAATCACATGGTACAGGGTGATGTGATTGGCCCATTTACCATGTGAGAGCTGTGGGCCAATCACAGCTTACTAGGAGAGGAAGCAAAGCTGTTATGAATCAAATTGATTCATAACAGCTTTGCTAACATTGTGATCATATGATTGCATAGCAATCACATGACTACCGGTCCCAATTTACTGTGATTCGCATTCAGCCCATGTGCCTTTGATATTATTGTCATCTGTGAGTATATTACCTATTCTTTTTTTTTAATAATTTTTTTTTTAAAGGTAATGCACTAGGCCTGTGCTCCCTCTGTTTGGATGACAGGTCTCTGCTCTGCTGCTACAGAGTGGACACAGACACTGCCCTCTGATTTCAATGGGATGATCGGATGGAAATGGACTGCTGATCCTCGCTGAGCAGGCGGATGACAAGTCTCTGCCTGCTCTGCTGCTACAGAGTGGACACAGACACTGCTTGCTGATTTCAATGGGACGATCAGATGGAATTGGACCTCCTGCCCATTTCCATCCATTGTCATCTGATCCCATCCATCTGTTTTTGCCATACAGGATCAGATTGTCTATGGATGGACTGATCGTGTCCGCCTGAAAAATGGACAAGCGGACCCCATCAGTCCGCTCCTGTGAAAGCCGCCTAAGACTTTGCACACCTTTTGTTGAACCTGGAATACATTTAGAACACACTCTAGAAATTGGGAGGATTTAATTAGCTGCGTACTAGCTTTAGGTCAGTTTTTCAGAAGGTATTGAAGCCAGAGAAAGCCAGGCAACTAGCATTATCAGTAGAAGATCAGCATAGAAGCCTTTGTTTTTCTCTTAGCAGAGCTTTGCTTCATTTGACATCTAAGGAAAATGATCCTAGTTTGCATTTTTTACTTTCTCATAGCTATTTGGAAGCCTATGCTGAGAAAGGAGAAGAAACACCAACAACTACTGACGTGTACTATACCGGAACCTAAGCCTAAGCTAAGCATATTTCTCCCCTTATGATGTACGCACAATATTCTAACACCACACCATGTGATCAATAGTGATGTATTATTAAACTGACTCAACATGCATATTTTCCTACAGTGGCTGATTTACTACAAAAAAAAAAGAAAACACCTGACATATGTACGTATGCTTCAGTATGCTTCAGATTTGGAAGGGAAGACTCTATTTTGATGTGCAATTAGCTGTGTGCTGGTACCTCTCCAGGGTAATAGATCTGGTATGTGCTGTTGCTACGTAGTAAAAGATTTTCAGAATCTCTTGATACGGTCACCGAGTGACAAAAACACATAAGTATTTTTTTTTCTGAGCCTTCATGCCACCAACTAATGCTTCTTCAAATATTGCAAATGTTCTCCCCTTCAGGTGGATAGCTGTAAGAAGAAGCTGTGATTGGTGATAACGGGAATGCCTCTCCTTATCGTGCAATAGCAGTAAGGCTCTTCACGCTTGGCAGGACTGAAGTCTGAACAATACATCCCTTGGGTAACTGAAATGGAATTTGCTCACAATATGCAAACATTTTAAGTGAACAGAATGAAAGGAGAGTGTGGGATACACACAACATCATAGGTTTTGCTGGCAAGGGGAGGGGGGGGGGGGGGATGGGATCCAGTGCCTGTAGACATAGGCAGCAGCATCTGTGCTGTCTGTGCTCTCATCAGTGAGCTTTGTATATTTCTCTAGGCTGAATGCAGCCAATCACAGTGCACAGGTGAACAGAGGCTGGGCAGGCTCCGCTCACAAATACGCTTCTCTTGAAGGCAAGCAGCCTTGATCAGACAGGATAATACAGAGCACAGCTCACAAACCTGTTTCTCTTCTGCCTGTGAAACTTCCCTGCTGTCAGAATACCCAGTGGCAATGAAAGAAGACAAAGAAAGGTCAGAAAAGAGGACTTCTTTGTCCACATGCAAGCATCAACTAGCGAATGTTATGAAATAACAGGTACCTAACATTTCCAATTTATCAATATTTCTACGTAATGATTCAAGCGTGTGTTTGATTTAATCTCTTCATTTCAAACTTTCTTGCATGTTTGCTGTGTTGTTGTGTGAACTTTCAATTGTGATTATGATTTCATCCACTAATATTTGATATTTTAGTGTGTGTGATTTCTTGAAGTTTATGTTGAATTGACTAAACTAGGTTTGTTTTATTTTAATGGCCAGGCGAATGCAGTCGTAAGGAAAACATTTGTAGCAAGATGTTCCTTTAAGATACCTCCAGGATTGACTACATGTTTTGTGAGCCTCAATGGGTACCTTCTGAAAAACAAAGCCATGATGTTTTTCTTTTGTCCTTTTTTCTCTATGGAATTTGGGAACATTCGCACAAAATGGAAAAGCATCGCTTATATGTTTTTGCTGTGCATCATCGGCAGTGTTGGTGGAGCACCTCCCGGGGTGTGTCCTCAAGGTTGCATCTGTTCCAGTGATATTGTAAGCTGCACTAACAAAAGCTTGTCTGTAGTGCCCAGGACTGTCTTTAAATTTATTCGAAGGCTGGATTTAAGCTACAACAAAATAGGTTTTCTGGACCCAGACTGGTTCCCAGTGTTGTTCGAGAAATTGCACTCTTTGATATTAAATCATAACACTATTAACAGCATCTCTAGTGGGAGTTTTTCCACCATCCCAAATTTGAGGTATCTTGATTTATCCTCCAATAATCTGAGGACGCTGAGCAATCCAGTTTTTCAAGAACTTAAAATGCTAGAAGTTCTTCTTCTTTACAACAATCAGTTGACCCATATTGATTCTGGGGCTTTTGGAGGCCTCCACAAGTTGCAGAAATTGTATCTGAGCTACAATGCACTGACACATTTTCCACTGGACTTGTATTCTGGAAGAAGTAAACTCACAGAACTTGTATTGTTGGACATATCCCATAATAACTTGCAATCTGTGCCTGTTCAGCAAATAAGCCTAATATCAGCAAGGCAACTTAGTGGCATTTACCTTCATGAAAACCCTTTTTTATGTGACTGCCATCTGAACGCAATGCTAAACTTTTGGCATCATAGACAGTTTAGTCCAGTAGTGGATTTTAAAACCTATTATGTCTGTACTTTACTGTCTGAGCCTAAAAAAATTCCTCTTATACAAGACAGTTTTCTCAACTGTTCTGAAAGTACTGTAAATGGGTCATTTCATGCATTTGGTCTGTTGTATGAGGCTCAGATTGGAGAAAGACTGGTGGTACATTGTGACAGCAAGATTATCGATACCAACACCCAATTTATGTGGAGAAGCCCTGATGAGAGATTATTAGAACCAGAAACCACAGATGAAAATTTCCGAGTGTTTCCCAATGGGAGTCTTGAAATTGAAGATGCCCAAATTGCAGATTCTGGAATTTATTCATGCATCGCAATAAACAAAGTAAGACAGATTAATGAGACCATAGATATTAGAATAACAGTAGGCAATTTTACAAGCCACAAGTCTCATTCACATGAGGCATTTAACACTGCTTTTACTACACTTGCTGCTTGTGTAGTCAGTATAGTTTTGGTTCTTCTCTATCTTTATCTCACACCCTGCCGATGCTGGTGTAGATCGAGGAAACACAAAAAAAAGCAAAACCAAAGCAGTGCTCACTCCTCTGTTATAAGTGCCACACCGTCCCACGATACCCATGCTGATAGGAAGTCCAGCACTGGAAAACGAGTTGTATTTTTGGAACCTGTCAAGGAAGCAGAAAAAGGCCAAAATGGAAAAGTCAGACTGATTAACCATGACAATCTCACAGCAGAGAGCATCCTAAAGAACAGTAGATCAAAGTCTGACTCAGATTCTATCAGCTCTGTCTTTTCAGATGCCCCTTTCATTCCTCCGGTATAATACCTGGTCTATTTCTTCTGTTCACACAGGCAGGCAGTCTGCACCTTTGGCATAAAAAGCAACAGTGACTCTTAACACGTACAGCTTGTGTAAACCAATGCCTTTGTAAATCAAATATTTAATAAGGGGAAATGAATGTACTTCACTAGCTACAAGCACATACAGAAACCCAATTAATTATTCAGGAATTACCTTTAAATGGTTATTTATATTGTATGCCTGCTTTTGTTTACTAGGGATTCTTCTGTTTTAGGAAGACCAGTTTGTATTCTTTAGCTCTGGGAATAGTTGTACGTTTACAGGACTTGTGTTCATGACAGTCATCCTCTGCCCCATTATCAAATGAAGGCAGTCTTGTGCATTATTAAAATATATCTCAGCAATGCAGGTGTAGGGATTAATGTAGCAAAGTAATATATCATAGAAAACCAATCCCAGTGGACATCTATATTTTCAAAGGATCAGTTTGTTAAAAGATTTAAAGGAGATTAATTTCCATTCAAAGGTAGAATCAACTTAATTTTACCTTCATTAACTAAATGTATTTTTTACAAGCACACGTTCATAAAGTAAAAGAAAATGCCTTTGAGGCTTTATAAGGCAATGCTAACAGTAATAATGTGCAGTAGCAACCAGCAACCAGATTTCATCTCTCAACACTCATTGAAAGATTACAGCTCAATGGTTGTTATAGGTAACTACACACTGCACGTTGCTCTATGCCTTAATATATACAGTAAGCCTGTTCATCTTTTTGTTATAGTCATTCAAGTTGCTAAGGATTACTTTTATTGGGTTTTTTTTTCTAATTTATGATCTAGATACATTTAGAAAGGTCTTTGCTGTGCAAAGAGAATAAAGAAAGTTAAAAATATTAATATTGGCAAACTTATTGTCAATAATTACTAGTGTACAGTAGATGGCAAATTTAAAAGGCAAGAATCAAGACAAATCATCATTTATAGTAAAATGTTCTGATAATTTTTTTTTTTTTGCTATGAAACCATAATTATTGTAAATCTTGATTCATGTTATTTTTTACATCGTTTGATATCATTTGATATGTTGGATCCTAGTCATACTTGGTTGTTTCCAGGTATTTTTGCACTGATTTAACAGGTTAACCAAAATACGTTGGTAGCTAGATCTGTAAATGGGTAAACATAAAATGAATCTATTAACTATTTAAATAGGGTGGTCCATATATATTTATAACAGTTGGTTAGAACTCAGTGTTTGGTAGAGGATTAGTTCTGCCTTCAGTACATTCAGTATATTTATTACCTATAGAATAGGTTTACTAAGTTTCAGTGATATACTGTGCTAGCAACAATGTGATAGCCATAATTGCTTACATAAATTAATTTTAGCTATAGCAGTGTTAGGAAGGCATACAGTATATGAAGGATAGTGTGTTTCCCATTACAAAATGTTCTACTAATATTATATGTATTTTTTATACATCATACATTCATTTTTCATATTTCACTTTACATTACATTTGCATATGTTTATATAAGTCTTTTTTTTGCCTTGTTCCTAGTCATTAATGTATGTAAGATTCAAAGTGGTCACATCGCAGCGATAAACACAGCAAGAATCTTATAAGGTGAAGTAGAAAGGCAAGAAATATGTCAAAAGTCTATTACGTTCAAAACATGTTAGTTCATTTAAATTGTACTGCATTTTTAAAATATAATTTTAATACTCATTATTTTGCTGTTGTTATGACTCAACATTAACTTCAGCTCTAAGATTATTCTTATTCATTTATATATTTTCATTGTATGATTCCTCAGTTGTTTGCATTAAACCATGACTTAAACAACAGCAAAAAGTTTTTAGCATGTCTGTTTAGTTTGGTGCCATGAATGTAATGAATTTTTATTAAGCTGCGTACAATAAAAACAATAATCACTATATACCTTGGTATCTCATATTCCTGCTTAAATTATAACTAATAGAGATATTGGTACTGTTATCTGTAGACCAATGACCATATAAAGTGACAAGTGAATCTCTAACTGTAGTTCAATTTATTATATGAATTTCACGTCCCCATTTCCTGTCTCTTGTACAGTACAGTTGGTGTTTGTACATTCTGTGCCTTTATTCTTATCTTGTTAAGCCCTGCTGTGGAGAGAGCTTGAACACTAGGTAATATGATATGGTATACACCCTACTTAGTGTATCAGATTGAAAACTCAGAGCAGCACACTGTACACCATGAGCAAGAAATAAACTCTGAGCTCTGGGTACCATAAAAAAGAACATAACAATTCAGCAATATTACTTTTTTACTGTTCTGTACTATTTGGTATCAGACACCTAAGCCTTAATATTTAATGTTATACTGTTTTTATATGATTACATAGTCTTGTTTTTTTAGTGTATGTTTACATACAGTTCTATAATGATTGGCTCTGACCAAGGGCTATAAGACTACACAAGATCCTGGCCATCTCCGAAGCCTTCATTGTTGCAGATATTTGGATGTCCTCACACGCTATGAGGCGTCTAGTGACTCATGAGCAGCAAGGCTCATGAGAAGTCCTTATATACAGCAACTTGTATAAGGTTTCTGAGAACATTGTACGTAATAGGATGATTGGAACCATGTGGTGTCATCACTGTATGCCCATGATAATTTCATTATCCTAGGCCTTTGATGCTTTCTAGCCGCTGAATCTGAGCCTTGTGAGAAGACGTAGGCCTATCAATTTTTACCTCTTGGTTGGATAGGTTGTAATAAAGTTCCATGCCCCAAAACATGTCAGCAACACTTTTCAACAACCATTTTTACTATGTAAAATCTCTTTACATGATATGCTACTCAAGACAGTGCAGATCTTAACATCACTCATAGATCTCACATTTCAAGTGTAGCTCTAGGCCAGAGGTGTCAAACTGACGGCCCTCCAGCTGTTGCCAAACTACAAATCCTTTGAGGCATCGCAAGGCTGACAGTTACAAGCATGACTCCCAAAGGCAGAGGCATGATGGGACTTGTAGTTTTGCAACAGCTGGAGGGCCGCCAGTTTGACACCCTTGCTCTAGGCAAAACTTTTTTTAAAGTTTTAGATAGAGTGGGGAAATTAAATTATCTGTCAAGTTCTAATTTCTTCCTGTTTCCGTGTTGGGGAGAATAAACCTCTATTTGTTAAACATAATAAAAGTGCTGCACTATGTGACTATAAATCAAACCATTTAATTCATATGTAATCTGGTATAGTAACCACTATGTGTTGTTATACAGCAAAACAATATAAATGTGCAATACTGAAAATATATAAGTAAATAAGTGAAAAATACTTTGAAAAGTGAATGTAAATAAAGTCCATAGCCAAATGTCTTTCAGTGTAAAAAGTGCTCCTTAGTATTAAAACTGCACCCACAATTAGTATGAACCATAGTCAGAGAGTGAAGTAACATACCAATGCGGAAAAAAGACATCCATGAAATCCTTCATCAGTATGCACTCACCAGAACTAAAGTGAACCAGGCTTGTAGTAAAAAATCCTCCAAGGTATGCATACCTCCTCCACAGAAAGGCTGGTATGTGATCTTTCAATGATGCATCCTAAAAAGGAGAGCTCACCACACAGATCCTTGAATATGAACCCCAAGAAGAATGGATGCCAACAAAGCAGCAAACACATGCTTTAAAATGGTCATCTTTTTTATTGGTAGCAGTTTTCCAGGAAAGAGAAGGATAGTGTTTGGAACTACATAGAATATTTTCACACATAAAGGATGTCCTTCTTTGGTTAAATTTGTTGCTTAATGATATCAGAAGCCTGGAGTACCCTCTGAAAGATTGGCAGCGATTTTACCCGTATTTCCAATTCATCAATTCCAAAGTAGTGTTAAACTGAAGCATATTTTCATAGACCCGCTCCTTCCGGCCTCCATGCCTGACACTCACACAGGAACACTGACAAATCCTTTCCATTCTATGGACACACTTCTCCTCTATTTGTACTTGTAAACATTGTCAAGAAAGCGGTAACACCTGTTCTGATGAACACGTGTTTCAGGTAAAATTTTCTAAGAGGGAAACTCCCTTCACTTTGGGAGATTTCCTCTAATTTCCTTTTGGATCTTTGGCTAATGTGAAGGATAATTTCCCTAATAGTACACATACAGAAAATAAAAACTAATAATGACTTGGCAGGGGTTATAACACGTTCCTACTCTATACAAAACTAAAAAAAAGTTTGGGCTATGCATGCAATTTAAAAATATTTTTTTTTTCTCAAAGTGATATTGGACCCCTTTTTCTTCAATGAGCCCTGGACAACTGCCCCTTTTGGGCTGTAGTAATGTGGCCGCTATTACCAATACTAGAGGGAAACCTGCAGAACCCTGTGTTCTCTTCTATAACTCCATTGCCATCTTGGGGAGACCTGTGCCTTTTTGGACACAGCATTCCTGTAAGATTTTGCCAACCATTTTTTTTTTTTTAAACTACACTGACTGTGGCACAAGTGGTGCTCAGAAATTAAGTGTAGGTAGGATATTGTAGTTATTGATAGTGCCTTCTAATGTGTAGGGAAAGAGCTGCTTTCTACTGCTTTCATCACTTTTCCCATTGGCACAAGTGCACCGCAGCACATTAAATTCTAAACAGCTCTGGCCACCCAGCATACGCTGAATGAGCGCACAACTGTACTTTCTACTTGTGAGAACTCCAAATCTTGATGCTTCAGTCAAACTGACAAAAACCTGTCTGGACCACAAAGTGTTGACCAGTGAGTGCTCCATTGGAAATAATGCGGTTGCAAACTTTGGGCTTGAGGAATGCTTCCTCTGACTGATTTTGCTTCCTTTAGCTGATTTATCTGCTGAGAGTAAAAAAATTTGATTTTGGAAGTTGGCAGTGTTTGCTGTTATTTATGTTACTATGCTAAAAAGCATAAATTTTAAAATCAGCGGCTTATGTCATGCCTCTTTTATTTGTCTGTTCCTTGAAGAATCTGATCATTACAGGGCTCCCCAGT